GCCCAATAGCAAAACATATAGCGAGTCTCAAAAGAATCCGTCCACCAAAACGCGAGAAACAGCTGCGAACATGAAAATCTACATCTCTCACAAAACCCGCGGAAGGATGTCTCCTCCCCCGGAGGTAATAATCCGATACATGCCCAGCCGATACTGCCCTGAAATCGCTTTGGGTGCCTTTACAAAGTTGATACCACATTATATAACATACACTAAAAACGTCAAATCTTTTGAATATATAAGGTTTCTACCCATCCCTGTGGAACCCATACTCCCATGTGGCTTAAGTACATAGAGTGAGTGTGCTTTAAAAGATAATGCTGGCTTGAAAGTTAATACACGAACTATTGCTGAATTAACATGATGCTCACGCATGGCAGTGCACGATATACGCTGCTACTTCTGCAATAAAAGACGCATAATCGTTAGCCGAGGCTGGTATATTTTTTTGTTGAGGCTGTGAATTTAAAGGCATCCAATGCGATTTCAGGGCAGCAAAACTGGAAATATTTTAAGTAAGGCAATCTTTGTGATATTGACACATACTGCTTCACATTAGCACATTAATAAGTATTTCATTCTTTGGCAGAAACAAGCCCCAAGATGATTCCCTTATTTTCTGGGTGGTACCCTAAAAATCAGCGCAGGGCCCTTCCAGTAACCATTTTCTGCCAGAATTTTGGGAATTTTTGCTCCATGAGGGTCAATATACATTTGGATAGTGTGGTTTCAGTATGTAGATAAATGACTAGAATATTGACTTTGAAAAATCGGGTTTCCAAGCCTTAAAAACTACATTGGATGCCTGGGTCTGCATGCCTATTTCTATGAGCGGCATCTCATTTTTGCCTCACAAATATTAGTGTCCTTTGGGATAGGTTTGATTCAACTTACTACATTAAAAAAATAAAAGGAAAATTGACTTTGAAAATCCAGTTTTGCAGTCCTGAAATTTCTTCTTGAGTGCCATTAAAACTCAACAAAACTGTCTCCTTTCTCCTCTGAATACAAAATTTATTTAATCTTGTTTAACACAGTTTTATTGTGGGGTTCAAGCCTTTAAAATGATGTGATTTTGATTTATTGAAACATTGCAATACACGTGGGACAAAGGCAGCTGTTGCTGGTGTTGTGTCCCACACATAGAAACAAATACAGGACAGACAATACTCATTTTCACTTGAGTTAAGTGGGGAAAGTCGTGTAAAGTGCCTTTCCCAAGGGCACAAGATTGGTGGCATGTCAGGACTCAAATCACTACACTACAGTAATTAAATGCAAGTACAGGGCTCGAAATTCATTTTTGGGAATAGATGCACTGGTGCACCCAACCTAAAAAATTGGGTGCACAAAAAATATTTTAGGTTCACCATACAAGATAAAATAAGTAGAATGTCAGCAAAAACTAAAATCATGTTTCATTTCAAGAAAAGTGTTATAACAATGATTGTATAATTTTTCCTGACACTTGCTGTAACTACCATACATTTAATATCTTTACATACGTAAAACCTAAGAAAATATCACCCAGTATTTTGAGCCCTGAAGTAAAAAAAGTAAATACCTGAGCTAACAATAGTTCAATGCTACCAAAAAAAATGTTTTGATTCCGAGGGTTCTCTGATCACCAAACTTGGCCTTGCTATCTTCACATTCATGGCATTGGTGACCCTGACCTTGAATCTGTAGGGATGTGTGCCCAAATGGAATCTGAACTTGAAGTCGGCCTTGATTGCATGAGGTCAAGATCTAGATCGCATGAAGGCATTAGACTTGTACAAAATAATTTCTACCCAGTATATACATGTATATAGATAATACTGCTTTGGACTTGTTAATAAAAGCATCATTTTGGACGGTTGTGCTCTAGCTGGCATCTGTATTTTTGTGACAGAATTTCGCCGCTCATAATGGACAAAAATTTTGCCCAAACTGTCATCTTTGACGGACAAAAATTCAGAATGGCCGCAACACTGATTGCGACATAATTGAAAAATTTAGAGCATAATTCCATCTTGGTAAATCTTAATGTCACACTTGGCAAGCTTTTATAACTCACAAAACTTACCCTAAAAATAATTCATGATTGTGGTAAGAGACCAGCTAAACTCCAGAAGAGGTATCTGTGAAACCCCCTGGAGAGCCCCCGTTTGCTGACAGGTGCATGCTAGATTGGAGTATTTGGGAGGTCAAGTATTTTAGATATTGAGCTCTCAGGGCTGCCTTTTAAATGACCACCAGGGAGGCCCTTGACTATCATTTCTTTGTTGTTCCATAATTTGGAATTTTGGGAAAGAATTTCTGGTACAAAATGTGTGTAATGTACAAGCCATTCTCTACCTTTGAAAGATGAATTTTTTATCCTTCCAATTTCACTATAACTTTTTTGACAATCCCTGATGCTACCAACAAATTCCAGAGATTTTCGTCTGTCCCCTTTTCTAACAACTGCAATTCAAATATGGAGTTATATGCCTGGACTTTATATTTCAACAGATTTGTCACAAACCATTCCATCTTGTAGGACATTCTTCAAGTAGAATTTTCCCAGGAAAAGAAATATTGATAGCTTGACAACAAGTACTTGTAAGATGCTATGTATATGTTGAATTATAAGGCCATGCCAATTTAATTTGTTGATTCTCGGATTTTTTTCGTAAGAAATATGAAGCGACAGGGCGAAAAAATAAAAACAAAAACAGGTCTAGGCATCTTATTACAGCACCAAATGCTACAATAGGAGCCATGAAGTCAACACAAAAGGCTGGGTTAATATTTGAACAATGAATTTTGAACTTTATCAAACCACTGCATTGATTGATGGAAAAGCTGTAACAACTAGGAAGAAAGAACTTTCCTCAACTCTTGGGGGCAAAATTTGAGCATTTTTGAGTTGAGTCAGAAGCAGAATCTTTTCTTTTTTTTTGCAAATCAGAAAAAAATGAAGAGGTGAATCCAAAAACCAACAAATTAAATTGATGTGGCCTAAACTCCCTAACCTTCAGCCTTTTAAGGTAGCTATCAAGCATCAAATCTGTACTGGGTATGGGTTACACAGCAGGTAGAAGGTTAACAACAGGCTAGCATGCTGGTTCTAATTAACCCCCAGTACTACTGACTAACCCGTAACTAATTCTGATTTACTGAACAAACAAACCCATACCAGAGGTGATATGATTAGACATCAACAAAGGGGACTAATTTATCTAAACAGGCAATCTTGCCCCATGCTAGGTTTCAACTAGGTGTGAATTGACCCTAAACCCCTAAAAGACCTCCCCCTGCCCGCCTATAAGTGTTTATAGTATCTGTTTATGGAGGAAAAACAAATAGAATTTGTAGCAAGGCCAATGAGTCCTGATCCAAGGTTCTAGGTACTCTCCAAGCAGAGGTTTGAATTCGGCTCATATTTGACTTCTTTTTAGGTGTTTTTTTATCAGGCTTTCTTTTGTTATGTTTTGTAAGGTTTTGAGTCAGTGTCGTGGTCACAAATAATAGTGTGATGGCCCAATACACTAAAATGCACCAGCTCCAAACTTTGCTTAGCTTCCATAGCATGCCAAAAACTGGGGTTTTGGGGTCTTCAGGGTCTTTGGGAGCTTTTATGTGCTATTTTCTGATTGCATATAGACAACATAGCCGGCCTGGTTGAATTAGAAGACAGCCGAAGACCACCAAACCCCCAGTTCTATAAGCCTGCTACGGAGGCTAATCAGAAAACAGCCGAAGACCACCAAACCCCCAGTTCTATAAGCCTGCTATGGAGGCTAAAACTTGCTATCCTAGTTTACATAGCCAGGAATAGAAGTGTACACAGTCAACTACAACAGTTCACGGTTGGGTAAATGGTTAGGGGTCACATACAAATGAACATCTCAAGTGGTCAATGTGTTTATCTTGTCAAGATCTTAAAACTGTGATTCCCGTGTGAAATATCATTATCGTCTTTGAAGAATGTAAACAAACAAGAAACTTTCACTCTTTTCTCATTTCACAACAGTCTCGTCAACATTCTATGAATACCTGGTTGTCATGCTCTAGAACCTCAGTTTGGAGTTACCAGGAAAAATCAAAACAATGTTCAATGCTAGAGGTAATGGACTTGAAATCCTTTTTCTGAATACCTGCACTGGTGCAGTAAACATTGAAAGTTCTTTGGAATTGCCCCCCTCCCAAGAAAAGCATGTTGGCAGAACGTACTACAACTGCGCAAAACCTGTAATGCACATGCATAGCATTTTGGTAGAACGTCTTATATAAGTCGTATTCGCGCGTATAACACTCGGTCTGTAGTTTCCGAATGTTATGTTGGAAAAGATATCGTCTGCAACAGGCAAAATTCTAATGCAACGTTGACCAAAAATCCAACGAAAACTGGGAAAAATCAAGGTTTTGTGCAGGCGTAGTACGTTTTGCCAATGTGCTCCTTATAATTAAGTAGAAATAAAGTGTAAAGAGCACATTATTTTAGAGAGAGCTTGTCTCAAAAGGCCAGTTAGCCAGGCTACAATATCAATATCATACATGTAGTGTCATATTCCATAATTAATTCTTCAATGTGTCCATTCGCTGTCAAACATGTAATCTTGATATCCACAAGTTATATCTAATTGTCACTCTAATTATTTTTGTGGATTCAATTCTTTCATCTATGGAGTGGTTATAAAGCAGATCTATACCACGAAAGTATGAATTAAATATTCTAATATCAATATTATCTTGCCCTATTATAAAAAATGCAAAAAATGAAGAAACAAAGTTAACACGAGAGCCAAATACGTACATCGTAATGTCACAGTTTATTCGGAATGCAATTTTCGCGGAAGCGCAGAGAGCAAGTAGGAAATTGTCGTGGTACATTGTTTCCTATGTAGACAGAGCATCATCTCTTTGAAGGTACAAAAATGGAGCCTTTGAAACTTATCTTCCCAGTTGTCTATCGCAACTGAATAAACAGTCATCTAACTATAGACAAGAATTCTGACCAAAGGTCTGGAAACCCAACCCCACACAGCTTTAATAGCTCCGCTACTCAATGCAACAGCCTAGGAGTGGTTTTGGGTCCAACGTCTGAAAATTATAACATTGAGGGAAAGAAGGAGATACAAGAAAGTAGAAAATGGAGAGGAGTTTGTTAATGCTGGCAAGGAGCCTTCGTACCATCTGCAAACGGAATATTAGACAAGACAAGGTAGGGCGTTGTTTCACATTTTACTGTTGGCAAATAATGCCACATATTCAGCTGAGTACACACCGAATCCGATACAGAACCAACCGATAAAAGAAATCAGAGTCAAACCGAACTTTCACACTAGTTCGTGTATCACGCATCTTTTCTTACTACTTAAAAGAAGACTGTTTCAACATTTTGGAAGCTTCTTAGTCAATGAACAAAACATTTTACTGTTGGCATTGCCACATAATATTCAGCTGGGTACACACTGAATCCGATACAGAACCAACCGATAAAAGAAATCAGAGTCAAACCAAACTTTCACACTAATTTCCCACTTTTCTTACTACTCACAAGAAGACTGTTTTCATCATTTTGGAAGCTTCTCAGTCAACAAAACGTTTTGGCAAGATGTCATCAAACGTATTCATTTTGACACCAATAACAGATGTATATACTGTCTCACTTCGTGATATGGTGATAATTTACTTACATATATCATTTCCTTGCATTTTTTGGCACTAGAACATGTGACAATTTGTCTTTGGCTGCACGCTTATACAGTATTAATGTACACTTGTTCTGGCTTACTATCAGAATGTTGCGTGTAACTGAGAAGTCATAAAAATTCCACGCATGTAGACTTGATCGATAGACAATTTCTGTCCTATTTAGTGATTCTCTTGCACCCCACACTTTTGCCAAGGCTATATTTGTAACATTTATTTCAGAACAGATGTATAGAATTACGTCACAGGGTTTTTGGTTACCCCTAAGAGACTCAAGTGAATAAACTAATTAACAGATAATCATGACGAGAATTTCTTACGCAAAAATTATTTTATAAAAACACAGGTACTTCCATATAATTTAACAGACCATTTCATTATTTCTAGGAAGGATACTATATATTGTATCCATAACCATGCTTTCTAGTTCTATGCCTGAATGGGTTAGGGTTAGGGTTAGGGTTAGGATCAGGCACGGTTATGAATTGACTGCACATATTCAAGAGCAATTAGGTTTGCCCCAGACACAGTTCTGGATATGCATGGACTATCCAGAATCGTGGTTTTGGATAAAGCACGGTTCTGGATACATTACAGATAAATTCAACACACTCCATGTAATAATAGACACCCCCAAAAGCATGCCTTAGTGGCATGGTGAACTCATTGTTTAGTGCTGCGTGTATGGTCACACACTTTTCGCGCCAACAAATAACCCGATACCACCTATCCATAACACCAGTGCGCTATCAATTTCATCCGGAGTATTTGGGTGGGAGGGACTCCACTAAACGGCATGGCAGCAGTTCTCTTCATATATGGACCACACTGGGCAATTGAGGTCATCAGCTGAGAGTTGATTATGATGTAACGACTGAAATATGATTTTCCAAATATAGAATAATTTTTCTATCCGGTTTTGGTGTAATACTGATCTCTTAATGTTATATGGATTTACACAATACATTTCAGCTAGAAACATTTTTTTTTGCAATTCAGAAATAAATATACCCAGTTAATTATGATGTAACGACTGAAATATAATTTTACAAATATAGAATTATTATTCTTTATATCAGGTGTTGGTGTATAGGACTGATCTCTTACAGATTTACACAATACATTTCCGCTGGAAACATTTTTTGGGGGCAATCCAGAAATAAATATACCCAGTTATGGCATAACACAAAATTGTACAAAAATTTGACTAAAATTTACCTTTTCATGTCTATTGATATAAAGTAATGCATTACTGCATTATTTGAAGAAAAAATCCCTAAAATGTAGTTGGCAGCCATTTTGATTTCTCCATGTCCTCACTGAGAAAAATTAATTATTATTCTATTCTAAAAAAAAGTGTACAGTTTCAGGGCTTGAAATACTGGGTACATGTGCACCTTAGTGCAACCAAAATTGGGGCTGTGCACCCATTTTTTTTCTGTGGGTGATTTTTGTAGGTATTTTGGTACATATTAGATGTAAATACAGGATATTCTTGGCATCTAAGTGTCAGAAAAATAATAAAATCTGTGTTGTAGTAATTATTTAAGATTTTGAAGTTAGCTCCCATTTCAGATTCAAGCTCAGAAGAGGAGCAGTAAGATCTGTAATTATGTTTTGTTTTGTATGGTGCACCCAAAAAAATTTTGTGCACCTAATTTTTTAGATTGGGTGCATCAGTGCACCTATTCCCAAAAATGAATTTCGAGCCCTAATTTTTGCACTGCAGAAATCAGAAAAGGTAAACCCAGGGTAGACCGGACAGTGCCCTTTACACTAAACAGAACCTTAGGCTCCAATGCACAGAGGATGTACTGCATGGATTTAAACAACCGTTCAAAAATCAATACAGCTTTGGGCCCTCCACAGGCAAGCTTATGCCACAGCAAGTAAATTTTATGGATGACATCCTCCACAGACTCCAAATCTAATGCGAGCGGGCAAAAAAAAACAAGGCGGGCCGAAAAACAAGGTTCTTGCATTCTCAAATTTTGACTCAATGATTGTACAAATGGTTTTGATTCAGTGGGAACATATACACAGCCAGCATCACATATCACTGCATCAAAGTGAGAAACAAAACATTAAATCAGAGCATTTTCTTGTCTCCTCTCTTCAGTTATCTGCCATTCACCTTCCGGCATGACAACAGACATACAGTATTTGCCCATTTTCAGCATTTTGACCACTGTCAGAGGGCAACAAGATTTCTTGGGGTTTTTTTTTGGTCAAAATCAGGCAAAAATCAATGTGCGCGCTGATGTCATCCATAAAAATTACTTGCTGTGGCCTTCGTTTGAAAGCCTTGAACATTCTGGAATGTATAATCGGAGCAGACTGAATTATACCTGCAGGCAACATCGGTGGCATATCAACTACTCACATGACATACCCCTGACTATGTACTGTAATCCCTGATTTTTTCGTGGTACGTAGGCCACAGCAAGTAATTTTTTATGGATGACATCAGCGCGTGCATTAATTTTTGCCTAATTTTGGAAAAAAAAAATTGTTGCCTTCTGACAGTGGTCACCATGCCGAAAATGGGCAAAGATGTCTGTTGCCATGCCGGAAGGTGGATGGCAGATAACTATGAAGAGAGGAGACAAGAAAAGGCTCTGATTTAATGTTTTGTTTCTTACATTGATGCAGTGATATGTGATGCTGGCTGTGTATATGTGATGTTGCCACTGAATCAAACCATTTGTACAATGATTGAGTCAAAATTTTAAAATGTAGGAACCTTGTTTTTTCAGCCCGTCTTGTTTTTTTTTCCCTATCGCATTAGATTTGGAGTCTGCGGAGGATGTCATCCATAAAATTTACTTGCTGTGGCCTCATCGTTATCAAATCATTCGTCTTCTGCCCCCCTCCCCCTCTCTTTCTTTGTGAAAATACCCATTTTCCTCAGACTGTGAAATTTTACTACAGTACAGTGAAGGCAATGTAATTTACAGTATGTAGTCCCATGTGGGATTCAGTGGTACAAGATTTCCTTTTTAGATACGGTGTGTGTGGTCGAATATATATCCACATACATGTACACTGTACAGCCTTTAAATAATACCTAGTTGTGTGCATTGAATGCATAATGACATTGCTTCATATGACTACATGTGATAAGCCCCATGATATTTAAAATTTATCCCTTGGAGTTGCCTCTTGTTTAAAGGCATCCAATGCGATTTCAGAGCAGCAAAACTGGAAATATTAGATGAATAAGGCAATCTTTGTGATATTGACACATACTGCTTCACATTAGCACATTTCAATCAGTATTTCATACTTTGGGTATCTAAAACTGCAGGTCCAAAATAAGTCCTTATATTTTCTGGGTGGTACCCTATAAATCAGCCCAGGGCCCTTCCAGTAACAATTTCAGAATTTTGGATATTTTTGCACCATGAGGGTCAATGTACACTGGGATAGGGTGGTTTCAACTCAGTATGTAGATAAATAACTAGAATATTGACTTTGAAAAATCTGGTTTCCAAGCCCTAAAAACTGCACTTGATGCCTTTAAGAAAAAAAAATTATGCCTAAGCTACCGTTAGATATTTCTAAACATGATTTTTGTGCCATTTGTATTGTCTGTATATTACTGGTGATATTGATATTGTCATATGAGACAGAAAGGCTTTTGCATACGCTAAATTTCAAGTGATTAAAATACTGCAAAAGTTGAAATGTTTGTGGTGTTGCTTTTGCAGTCAAAATTCGTCACGTTTTTCCCTTCCCTGCTAAAATGAATGACATTACTGTAACAGTACCTGACTAGCAGTTGCATAATATAAGCAGAGTACTTGTAACTGAATATTTTGACAAGTAGGAAAAAAATATTCATGTAATATGCTATATGCATACGATAATACTTTAGGCAACATGGATGACAGATTCCGTATGTTGTCACAAGCTCCCTTCTGTCACCATGTCAGTGCGAGTGAGTTAATATTTATGAGTTCATTAAGTGTTCTAACCAACATTTGTCTTTCCATCATTTGGTAGAATTTTGCCACTCAATAACGGACAAAACTGTTTTCTGAATTTTGAGGGGCAAATATTGCTTAGTTTAATGATTCTCTTTCTATATCTTTTTGTCCTTGAAAGATGATAGATTGGGTAAAATTGTCCATCATAAGCAACAAAATTCTGTCAAATGACGGAAAGACAAATGGCTATATAACATTGGGACTTTGAAAACTTACCCCCGGCCAAATGCCAAACCTGTTCATTGACCATCAAATGCATTTCCACCATTAAAAACGCATGCCCGTAGCCAGGATTTTAAATGGGGGGATCTTCCCACTGCTATCAGGGACCAGCGAGTGCCGTAGTGGCGAGGCGAGTGCCGAAGGCGTGAGGTTCCTAGGGGGGTCCAGGGGCATGCTCCCCCAGAAAATTTTGAAAAATGAACCTTCTGAAATGGCATTTCCTGCATTTTTTAGAGGATTTAATAGAAAAAATCAGAGAGAACTTTTTTCAATGACAAAGTGAGCAGTTTTCTTACGATTCCAGCCTCGCTGGTGACACAAATCAGTCCATCTTTTCAAGAAAAATCTTGGACCTTTAGATAAAAAGTAGACCAAAAAGTGGACCTTTAAGCCTTGTGGGGGGGGGTCGTCCGAACCCCCCTGGCTACGGGCATGAAATGCACCCCCCCCACACACACACACACATCTAGCACTCGAAAGATACAAGAATAATCTTTCTGTGCAGTGAATTGTTCCTTCATTGCTAGTCATTCCTACATCCAGACTTTCTTAGTATAAATTGACCAACCACCAGTACAATTTGTAGCTCATTTCATGCTGCATTAACTCCCAGTCAGGCCTGGAGCTTTAAACAAGACCTCTTTACTCTTAATCATACCCTCATGTGTTTGATGTCAGCATTGCCAAAAGTACTCTTTGTGTTCTTTGCCCTTGGTGTATAAGACTATTATTGTTGCTCCAGTTTAGTTATTAAGGTCGTCCCAATTTAATTGTTTGGTTCTTGGATAGCTTGGTGGTTTGACTCGCTAGTCAGGATAGGGCCAGTTCATCTATTTTTCTCTGTTGTTATTTTTGGCAATCTGGCATTCGATTACACGATACACATAATTTTTTAATAACACTTAATATAATGATGACTGCAGGATGACAAATAACATGCTAGTATGTGGAATTAAAACAATGAATCGTGCTTTGCGAAGAATTTCCCACTTAATGTCAAATCATAGTGGCTGGATGAATTTAAATGGCATACTCAGGCCTCGAAATGAACTTTTTTTTGCTATTGTCCCAGCATTGTCCCAAAAATAAATTTCAATTGTCCCAAAGTGAGGATGAACTGTCCCAACCTGTTTTTCAGCAAGTGAACTTGAAGTCAGCTTTATTTTGCTTATGTTCTGACTTCCATGCGCGGTATAATTGCAGAGTAAGGCCGACTTTAGACTGACGACAGTATACGATCGCACGACAATCGTTGTGGGCGACGGCTGACTTTAGACACATGACCAGGACACCCACAGCGCAGGAGGGCACGCCGCGCGCCAATTCAAAATGGCGAGAGAACCCCTTTTTTCGCGGCATGCTGCAGAAGATTGTTTTTAATCTGCTTTTAACTCGTTGTTCTGTGGATGAGACTCCTAGTTCGTGCCCAGCAAAGAAGGGGTATGAGGCACATGTACCAAGCGGGGCAATATACTCCGGGTTTGAACCCGGCGTTCAGTGCTGCCGTCGGCCTGGCTATATTGGCCGGGAAAATCGTCAGATCGGTTCGTACCGGAGAAGTAGCGATTGGTGGCTGGGGATTGTACTAGACACGTATGACGATATAAAGTCTTTGGTTTGATGGCATTTAATGATACTGGCGATGTGCTTGGACATGAAATAACGCTTGCAGGCTTATTTGCATAAGGCCAATGACCTCCCACTTCCTTCGCCGGCGACGGTTCACTTTAGACGGTGGAAAATCCTCCTCGGACCCCCCGCTGAAGGATCGCACGATAGGGTCCGAGGTGGTAGTGACGACGATTCGAGGATTACCGTCGTGCGACTATTTTGATCGTCTTTAGACGGTTGTAAAATACCATCGCCGGCAACATCTTGACGATAAACATTCGTACGACTATTTAACCGTCGTCAGTCTAAAGTGCCCCTAACAGGGAAATTTTGGAGAGCTTTTTCCAGAACCAAACAAAAGAAGGGCTGACATTCCGATGTTGATTATCTTTCTATTGTCCCCGAGGTGTCCCAGTTTGCCTTTTTATTTGTCCCAGCTAAAATCTTAGTGGTCACTGGCCATCGGGACACTGTTAATTTCTAGCCCGGCTTGCTACAGCTCACAGAAAAAGGCATGCAGGCCCTCATATGAAATTGTATAAGGATTGCACTCACGTAGACCCTGGATTACCATCACTACATGTTTCAACTCAACATCAAAGTCCTGCAGGCATGGCCAAAAGCTCACAATCTGGTTGAAAGCCTGCTCCCTGATGTGTGGTGACTTGACGGACATGGTGGGCTTTGATTAAAAAGCCATACCTATGGAATACCAAGCAGCAGAATAGAAGAACAGACTACAAGGGACTCTGTATTTCAGTGTGAACTCAGGTCTGGAAAAAAGCAGATGGAATAGATTTAGCCAGTCCAATTTATTTCCATGGCTTTCGGACATTTCAAGGTGAAAACCTGTACAATGGCCAAGTGCTCTTCTTGCATTCGGTAGGTCGTGAGTTCAATCCCCGTCCAAGGTACACCAAATACTTTAAAAATGGAAGTTACTGCTTTCTTTGCTTAGCACTCAGTATTTGGGAAAGAGTATGGGAGTTAAACACTCACCACTCCCAGCGGACTAGCCCCTGCTGTAGTGATTGCACAACTGTGTGGCCCAAGGGCTGCTGAATCGGAGATGGGCACCGCCCTGCACCACATGGTGCGGGAAGGACTTTAAGGTGAAAATGTAGCAAGTGGACATAATATAAGCAGAGGGCATGGAGGAAAACTTGAATACAATTGTATTTACTCCATATAAGTGAGCTCACAGAAGTATTTTTTGTGTGACTTTCGGCTTTATGTCCTATCCTAGAGGACGTCCCTAACTGAACCTAGCACAGGTACTAGTAGTAGGTTTACCTGAGTCAACTGATAAAAAGGTGTTATGTGCCTTCCTTTCCCAAGGGCACAACACTGGGGCTTGCCTGGGATTCGAACCCAGAACCCCTAACCACCTTGCCACCTACATGAGTTGACGTGAACACTTCTGTTCTTGTTTCCCTGCAGCTATGGTCTCGTTCGGTCCACAGCGACCGGGTGCGTCACCAGAGTACCCAGGTTGCGTTGCCTGGGGTTCGAAACCAGAACCCCTAACCACCGTGCCACCTACATGAGTTGACGTGAACACTTTTCTTCTTGTTTCCCCGCAGCTATGGTCTCGTTCGGTCCACAGCGACCGGGTGCGTCACCAGAGTACCCAGGTCGCCATGCAGGACCTTGCCCAAGAAGACAGCGCCAAGCCCGAAGATGCCAAACCCGACGAGAGCCCCAAGAAAAACCCCGTCTGTTCCTACAACGAGTGGGACCCGCTGGAGGAGGTGATTGTTGGACGTGTGGAGGGCGCCTGTGTCCCGCCCTTCACTGTGGAGGTCAAGGTCAGTGTTATGAACTACCACACAAAACCCCCCTTTCTTAGAAGTAGAGCAGTCCTGTTATATAACCCCCCTATCTTAGGGTAGACAGTTAAGGGTAAGTTTTTGTTTGAAGGACATGTGGAGGGCGCCTGTGTCCCGCCCTTCACTGTGGAGGTCAAGGTCAATGTTATGAACCCACTTTTAATCTCTTTAATCCAAATTTAACCTAATTTTTCCCGAAACGGGGGTTAGACGTGCTTGCTTCAACTAGTTCAAGTGCAAGTCTTTTTTTAGCAAGATTTTTACGGCTGGATGCCCTTCCTAACGCCAACCCAAACCCTAGTAGGACCCAGGATCCCTCTAACCCACTGTGAACTATATGTGCACTACCACAGAAAACCTGGGCCTTTCTTAGAAGTAGAGCAGTCCTGTTTTTGAACCCCCCTATCTTAGAAGTATAGCAGTCCGACCTGTTGACTCCGAGCCCTGGAGTCAACACAATAAAGTATGAAGCTCCTCAAAAGACCAGTTCATTTACAATCCAACAACACGGAATTACAACAGTCTGAACTCAGAACACTTCTTTTTCATTTCTATAAGATATACTAACGTAAGGCCTAGGAAAAAAAATGTTGTGTTTCCTGTTTCCTGATCGATCCTAAAAAAAAAACTGCCGACTCGACCAGGACCAGTTTAAATAAAGGTTATTGATTGATTGCTTATAAGTTTATCATTTTGGGCAAGAACAGACAAAAGTTTGCAGAATTTGGGTTGTTTTAGCCCAGATGATGGCATTTCAGCACCAAGGAAAGTTTTTAATGTAACAAAAGGAACATTTTTCTATCAACAAATCCACAGGAAAGGAGTAACAAATAATTAGGAAATACGGTATTTAACTAATAATTAAGTAATAATTAGGAAATATGTCAAAGATTGTTAAACGTTAAAAGTAATTTGGCACCAGTGTTTGATTTAGGCTATGTCTACTAATATATCTCCACAATTAAGAATGTAAGGGGCACCCTGTTTTTAGACATGTATTTCATGTACTTGAAAACTACCATCATATACTTCCAACTTTCAAGTTCAGGGCTTGAAACTCATTTTTAGGAATAGGTGCACTGGTGCACCCAACCTAAAAAATTAGATGCTCAAAAGTTTCATTGGGTGCACCATATAAAACAAAACCTAATTACAGATCTTACTGTTCCTCTTCTGAGCTTGAATCTGAGCTAACTTCAAAATCTTAAACAAGTACCACAACAAAGATTTTATTATTTTTCTGACACTTGGATGCCAAGAATATCCTGCAATACTATTTTACATTTGGTATGTACAAAAATACCTACAAAAATATTTAGGTGCACCAGTACACCCACAGAAAAAATGGGTGCACAGCTCCAGTTTTGGGTGCACTAAGGTGCCAGTTTTGGGTGCACTAAGGTGCCAGTATTTGGAGCCCTGTGTGACCTGCATGTACTTGAAAACTACTCCCAACTCATGCTTCTCAGTAATCTCCGAGCTGATAGCTTGACTTATGCATTTGTCCTTGATGTAAAGTGAAGTTCTCTCCGTGGAGTGTGCTTTTCTCAGTGTCTATATTCGTCACACTGACAGTGACGTGCACACGTTCTGACAAGGTCATACGCTGCACCGGGCGATTGCAGCATCTCTGACGTCAGCGCAGCAATTTTGTGTAATCCTACAACACTCCGAAGAACGTTTCTTAGATCCTGAAAGCATTTATCAAGGCTGTAGCCTGTGTTACACAATCTTTCACTGTCAGGGGCTGATTGGACAGAACATAGGCAGAACGTACTGCGGATGCTCAAAACTCTGATTTTTCACGGTTTTCACTGGATTTTTGGCCAGGCCACAGCAAGTAAATTTTATGGATGACATCCTCCGCAGACTCCAAATCTAATGCAAGCAGGCGAAGAAAAAAAACAAGCTGGGCCGAAAAAACAAGGTTCCTACAATTTAAAATTTTGACTCAATCATTGTAAAAATGGTTTTAATTCAGTGGGAACATAACATATACACAGCCAGCATCACATATCACTGCATCATAGTAAGAAACGAAACATTAAATCAGAGCATTTTCTTGTCTCCTCTCTTCATAGTTATCTGTCATCCACCTTCGGGCATGGCAACAGCTGAGAATGAGTTTTTGAACAAACACCTAAATCCTTGGTTGATAACTCTGGAACACCCTACAGATTAATTTTGGACAAAATATTGCACTTTGGACAAATGTTTGTAGCCCTTTACAGCTTATACTTATAAAGTTGATATTTTGTGGAAACCTTCCTTGGCACATAATAGACCATAATGACACCCAGCGGGGGTCGTCACGCGTCATTGAAAATTGAAAAATCTGAAGATGTTTTTAAAAAATCTGAAGATTTTCTTGAAAATCTGAAGATTTTTCAAAGAATATGAAGATTTTTTTCAAAAGTCTGGGAAAATCTGAAGATTTTTCCAAAGAATCTGAAGATTTTTTCAAAGAATCTGAAGATAGTTTCAAAGAATCTGAAGATTTTTTCAAAAAATCTGAAGATATTGTTCTGAGATTGGATTGAAACAATCTAAATTGTTTTAAAGGAGCTCAATTTTTTTCAAATGTGATCTTGAAATTTATGTTGTAACTTCTTTTAATATTGACTATTTCTTGTTCTTTGTGCATCTGTCCAGGCAAACACATATGAGAAGAACTGGTCGTTTTTCGTGAAGAACGGAGGTAAGCCATTCCCCAACGATCACATGACGAAGGCCGTGCAGGAGGTGGAAGAGTTCTGTAACATTCTGAAGCACGAGGGCGTCATTGTGCGTCGTCCAGAACCCGTCAACTGGTCTGAGGTGTACAAGACTCCCTGGTTCGAATCCCCAGGTAAGCTACAATCTAAATTGTTCTCTATATGGCCATATATTATATTATATAGTGATTTCATTAGGCTATACCAATTTAATTTGTTGGTTCTCAGATTTTTTCGAAAAAATATGAAGTGACAGAGTGAAAAAAATAAAAATAAAAACAGGTCCAGGCATCCTTAGCCCCAAATACTACAATAGGAGCCATGAAGTCAACACAAAAGGATGGGTTAATATTTAAACAATGAATTTTTCATTTTTGATCAAACCACTGCATTGATAGATGGAAAAACTGTAACAACTAAGACGAAAAGGACTTTCCTCAACTGTTGGGAGCAAAATATGAGCATAGTTGAGTTGATTCAGAACCAGCTCTTTTTTTTTTGCAAATCAGAAAAAAATAAAGAGGTGAATCCGAGAACCAACAAATTAAATTGGTGTGGCCAAATTATTATGTTTACTGAAGGAATTCAAAACATATTGTTTTTGCTAAGTTTCCTCTTCTTCTTCTTCCGTTCCAAACACTGACCTCTTACCTGGCCAGTGACCTGATTTCTTTACATTTCTTACCATGGTAACTGGTGTTGGGTTGCATAATGTTGCAATTTTATAGTAGGAGGGATTTATACTCCTGTCTGACCATATATATGAATGTATTTGAGTAAGAATTAACAGAGCAGACCATATGCGGAGGTTAACATTATGCACTTGCTTTGCAAATGTTACCTTTCTAGTTACCTGTAACGTTGTATTGTCTCCCCAGGCCTGTATGCGTCCATGCCGCGTGACATCCTACTGGTGGTTGGTGATGAGATCATCGAGTGCCCCATGGCCTGGCGAACCCGCTTCTTCGAGTATCGCGCCTACCGCTCTCTCATCAAGGAGTACTTCCAGGAGGGAGCCAACTGGACCACCGCTCCCAAACCTACCATGGCGGATGAGCTGTATGACCAGGTAACGAAAGGGTCGAAATACCCCTCTGTGTGCAAGTTGGTGCAGGTAAAATTGGTGCCGTGCAACTGATTTTTTGCACCGGTGTAAGTGAGCTTTATACTTTACTACACTGACTCACTACCCATAGAAATAACTGAAAGGGTAACAAAACCAGAATCCAGGGAGTTTTTCTTCAGTCACTGCCATGGTTAGTTTATCCCCACAACAGTGTAATCAAATATTGGATACTATATAGTCACTGCCATGGTTAGTTTATCCCCACAACAGTGTAATCAAATATTGGATACTATATAGTCACTGCCATGGTTAGTTTATCCCCACAACAGTGTAATCAAATATTGGATACTATATAGTCACTGCCATGGTTAGTTTATCCCCACAACAGTGTAATCAAATATTGGATACTATTATAGTTGTATTATTGTACTTTTGGTTGTTTACCTATTATTCTGGGGGGATGCAACTATTTTTTTTGGTGCAACTATTTTTTTTCACCTGCATCAGTGCAGGTTGACCCCAAAATCTATTTCAACCCCTGAGTTTTTCTTCTTAAAGTAAAGGTTTTTTAAACTTTGGGGAAGGGGTCTGGGGGAGGGCCTAGGAAAAATGTATCCCCATTGAACGTCTTCAACGTCTGTCTTTTCTGTCACAACCTGTGGAAGATCAGCTCAACTGTTCACTGAGGTAATTTGAGCTAAAGGCATCCAATGCAATATCAGGGCAGCATAATTTGAAATGTTCTGAATAAGGCAATCTGTGTGATATTGACACATACTATCCCACATTTGAGTCAGTATTTCATACTTGAGGTGCATTTATGTATTTGTAACAGTGCAGAAACAAGCCACAAGATGGGTCCTTTATTTATGGTGCCCAAAAATTAGCCCAGGATCCTACCAGTAACCATTTTGCATCACATTTTTTTAGCATTTTTGATCCATCAATGTCAATATACCTTAGTAGGATAGTGTTTATTCAACTTAGTATGTAGATACAGTGACTGGAACTAAATCTGGTTTTCAAGCCCTAAAACTGCATTTGGCATCTTTAAACTGTAGGGGATGTAAAGTTTCTTCCTCACCCTGTTACAGGAGTACCCCATGCGGTCTGTAGATGATCGTCACAAGCTCGCAGCCGAGGGCAAGTTTGTCACCACCGAGTTCGAGCCCTGCTTCGACGCTGCAGACTTCATGCGCGCTGGACGGGACATCTTTGCCCAACGGAGCCAGGTACACAAGCTTTTTATAAGTTTACCGGAGGGAAATATGTTGTTTTTGCTCTGATTCCTCTTCTTCTCCAAACAAATAAGGTCAATGACCTGAACCAGACGTTTGTTACCATGGTAACTAGTGTTTGGTTACATCATGTTGCAGTTTTATAGCAGGAGGGATTTAGACTTCTGTCACCATATATGAATGTGTTTGGGTAAGAATTAACAGAGTAGACCATATGTGAACTGCAAGGTAAACATTATGCATTTGCTTTGCAAATGCTACCTTTCTAGTATTCTCACTATCTTTCCTACAGTGTATATGTATGTGTACAGCACATACACAATGTGAAAGATTACATGATGAACTTCTAATCATATAGTTAAAAAGTCTTTCTTAAAATAAAAAATCTTATGTGTCATTGTTTTTTTATGAAATTCTATGACCATAAACAACATACTTTGGCCCTATGGTTAGAGTCATTAACTCCAAAATTATGGTAATTACAGCCTTAATGTATGACCCACTGACTGATTCAAGCTTTTTATTGGTTTGTTTTAGATCACCATTAAGAATTGTTTAATACTAACTTCCTGGACTCCATATGCATGTGTACAGCATATACAAATGTGAAACATTACAAAATCGTAAACAACATACTTTGGCCCTATGGTTAGAGCCATTAACTCCAAAATTATGGTAATTACAACCCTATTAATGTATGACCCACTTTCAACACATATTTGACTCCAGGTTACCAACTTTATGGGTATTGAGTGGATGCGCCGCCACCTCGAGCCGAAGGGATACAACGTCCACACCATCTCCTTCAAGGACCCAAACCCCATGCACATCGACGCAACGTTCAACATCATCGGCCCGGGGCTGGTCCTGTCCAACCCTGACCGCCCCTGTCATCAGATCGACATGTTCAAGAAGGCTGGCTGGACAATCGTCCACCCTCCAACACCGGAAATGCCGGACGGTAAGGGATAGTAGTTTGTCAGGCCGATCTAGCAAGATTGTCTGTTTGTTGGAATCATGGCTCTAGCCAGCTCAATTTTTTTTCTATCACTATCAGCCCAGGTTCATGATCGGACCTGGGGAGAGAGTGCTCACAATCTATGGCATTTCATTGGTTGATTGATCGATTGGTTGATTGATTGACTGATTGATTGATTGGTTGTTTGATTGATTGATTAATGAAAGTCATTCTTGATATAAAAAGAATTTGCCAAGCCTTAATATAAATCAGGGCTTAACAAATTTTAGGACTTGGTGCACAGGAAAGATATTGAGCACAAATAAATACTGACAACCTTTACAACCACACAATTTTGCTACAGGTTATATTGCCAAACTGTATCATTTTGGGCAAAAAAAGACAAAATTTAGCAGTTTTAGCCCAGATGATGGCATTTCAGCACCAAGGAAAGATCTAACTTGAATCACTGTCAGCTGTTTTTAATGTAAGCAAGGAACATTTTTCTATGAACAAATTCACAGGAAAGGAGTAGCTAATAATTAGAAAATAATTAATTTATAATTAGGAAAGAAGCAACTAAATAATAATAATTAGGAAATATGTTAAAGATTGTTAAACATTAAAAGTCATTTGGCACCAATGCTTGATTCAAGCTGTGTCTATCTATCATCCTCCCCAGGCCATCCCCTGTGGTTGTCCATTAACTTGTGATTGATTGATTGATTGATTGACAGGCCACCCCCTGTGGATGTCGTCCAAGTGGTTGTCTATGAACGTGTTGATGATCGACCCGAAGCGCGTCGTGTGTGACAGCAACGAAGTCGCCACCCAGAAAATGTTTGAGAAGCTAGGCATCCAAACCATCAAGGTAAGGCAAAATCAGTTTTGTGTGTGTGTGTGTGTGTGTGTGTGTGTGTGTGTGAATGGTGTTCAGTACCAAGGACCACCTGTGTGTGGATGGTGTTCAGCACCAAGGGCAGGCATGTTTACCTGTGTGTGAATGGTGTTCAGTACCAAGGACAGGCATGTTCACCTGTGTGTGGATAGTGTTCAGCACCAAGGACAGGCATGTTCACCTGTGTGTGGATGGTGTTCAGCACCAAGGACAGGCATGTTCACCTGTGTGTGGATAGTGTTCAGTACCAAGAACAGGCATGTTCACCTGTGTGTGGATAGTATTCAGCACCAAGGACAGGCATGTTTACCTGTGTGTGGATGGTGTTCAGCACCAAGGACAGGCATGTTCACCTGTGTGTGGATGGTGTTCAGCACCAAGGACAGGCATGTTCACCTGTGTGTGGATGGTGTTCAGCACCAAGGACAGGCATGTTCACCTGTGTGTGGATAGTGTTCAGCACCAAGGACAGGCATGTTCACCTGTGTGTGGATAGTGTTCAGCACCAAGGACAGGCATGTTCACCTGTGTGTGGATGGTGTTCAGCACCAAGGACAGGCATGTTCACCTGTTTGTGGATAGTGACATTTAGGTAAGGCCAGACCAGTTGTTGCTTCTAGGATTATTTTGCTTCTAGGACTTACATTACATGGTAGGAGGGTTAGGAGGGCCATCAAATGATGCCCCCTGGTGACATTCTTGCGTACTGCAAGTAACACAACTTGTTTTTTCAGGTGAATCTCCGCCATGCCAACTCCCTGGGAGGCGGCTTCCACTGCTGGACCTGCGACGTTCGCCGCCGCGGTGGTTTGGAGTCGTACCTGTAAGACCCTCGACCGACACACGTCCAAACACGTCCACATTATGTGTGTGATTGAAACTAGCTTGCTGTGAGCCATATACAGTATGTAGGAGTGTAAAAAAAAATATGTGTGGGGGTGTAAGAAATTACTGTGTGTAACAACTGTGGAGGGACAGGGAGTCAAAAGTGTCAGTAAAAGATGTACATGATTTCAAACTAGTGATAAATGATTTGATTCACCATCTAGATTTGAAATTTTTACGTTTTGAAGAAATTTTTTTAACATCATTCATAGCTTCAAAAGTCATGACTTCATTGATGTATTTGCTACATCTTTTTATTCTATTTTATCCATTTAATAAGTCTTTATGTGTTTTTAAGTTTTAATTGCTATTGAATTTGGGGTTCACAATTATTTGTCAAATCATGATAATGAACAGTTGGGGTTTACGGTGTATATTTTATAAATTCCTCCCCATGACAGTTTTCATTATAAAAATCACAAGAACAATTCGTATTTTATCAGCAAAATATGACACTGTCAAAACATAAAGAAACTCACTCTTCATATGTTTAAAGCTTAAAAAGCTTTGGTTAGTATATTACATGTAGTTACCTGTTTGGATTACATTGTCCATTGACTTGATATTTTTTTATGAAGCAAGTTTAAACTGTAATTTCCAACACAATAAATTGGACTCACCCAAATTTTCGACTGTACAACTCCAGTCTTTGTCAAGGAATGAGCAATCCACCGCTTCTGTGACGTCACGCAGATAACACACGTGACTCCGTGAGCAGTGGAACATAGGTTGCAGAAAGTCTGTGGCGTCCCCCGTCTCTGTTGAGGGATGGTTGTAATGCCCTGATGTAGATGGCCTCTTTAATCCCTCGTGCAAAGAAGTCCAGTTCTGAGTCCAAGATTCTTACTTTGTCATTGCTTTAAACTTACTTTTAACTTGCTTCATAATGATTTCTACCAACACAGATGAACTTTCAAGGTTGATAATTTTTTGGCGACCCCTCAGGGGTGGGGGTATTTGGGAAGATTTAGAGACCCAGTGGTATAGTTTAGAATGATGGTGATCTGTCCCTCCACATGTTGTTCCACTGTGTGCAGTGCTAATATGATGCCGACCTACATTTTTTTTCCCGTGAATTGTATTATCGGGAGGGCTCTCGTTTGGTTTACAACACTTCAAAGCCAAGTTCAAACACGTTTTACAAAACCTTGAGGTCAGATTATTATATCAAACTGGCCTGAACCGGACTGTAACTGTGTTAGATTTGGCTAGATTTTGGGAGAATCCCATGGAATCAACCAACCTTCTAAAGTGAAGTTCGAATCATGTGCATGTACATGTAAGCCATACTCGTTAAAACTGAAACCGTTTATGTCTTGATTCCATGGGATTGTACCTTCTACAACTTATAGCAGAAGTCTTGCTGGAAAGAAAATTGTTCTGATGTGTGTATGTATATAAAGAGAGGAAGAAGGTGTTTGGGAGAATTTGACGATGTTGTTCTCTTTGTACCAGTGACATATTCAATATGTTCTTGTCTCTGTTGGCCTTGGTTGCAAAGTTTGGGGGAAAGTTTGACGATTAAGTTGACTTGTATCAAGCCAATTTATTTGCTGATGTATTCAATTGAAGTTCTAAGTGCAAAATATTACATTGTTTTGCCGGATAGTGCAGAAAGTTGAGTACAGCCAATAAGACTGTGTTTCCAGCAGTACCAACCAATGATAGGTTGATCTACAAAGCAGCCAATCAGCATTAACTGTTGGCGGCCAATCAGGTTGTGGTAATCTGTGTACAGCCAATCACATCATTGCTCTGGGCACAGCCAATCAGCAGCTTATCTTGTTGACCAATCACAGCATGCCACACAGTCTGTTTAACCAATCAGAAGCCATAATAGCCAGTATATTTTCCTCCTTAGAGATTAAGAATGCCAAGAGTTTGAGAGGCCAACAGAGATAAGGTTATGTGAACAAGACTTCTGCTTTACCTTGTAAAATTCTTACAGCTGTCTTTTTGAGGCAAGGTCTTGAAGTTTGCATATTAAGAAAGGTCATGTTTCAGAGTCTTAGAAAATGAGCACAGTATCAGTACACAAGAATGATTCTGGTGTATCATTGCAATTGTTCCAATTCAAAAGTCCTACAAGTTGGGTAAAAAAGGCAGCTACAGTTCACAATATGGCAATGCCAGGCCAGGTCCAAGGGTTTTTTAACGGCAGAATCTGTTGGCAAATGCTTGCTGATGCACTCAAATAATTGCCAGCACGGTGCTAAGCTAAGAAATCTTCCTCATATATTCATCTACTAGATACACAAGGATCTTTACTTTTGTATTGCTTGAGTTCAAAACAGATTTTGTAGCAGACGACAAGTACTAAAAAGGTGAATTGAACATATATCATTTGGCCTACAATGTATGTCAACACGAAATACTAGTATTAGCCAATAGTATGTAGTCTCAAGTTTCAAGCTTTTCAAAAATGTCGATTTGGTTTGAAATATTGACATTAAAAACTATCCTGCCCCCTATTAAAATGTTTAACAAAATTGCCCCTTTTTTTGATAATGTCTGAAGGCTGTTATCTACATGTAACTGTAATAACAGTTACATAACCCTCAACATATGCTAACTTACGACGATTTCTGTACAACCATGGTTTACAGAAGCTCTTGTAGCATACAAATATAAGGTTGAAGAATTCTATCAACAGAGAATGCTGGACCTGACCTAGGCTGTCAGTTATTTTCTACATCAGAGAAGAAGTGCAGTGTCTTAGATTCACTCAGGTTAAGTTTTTACTGAATGTATCTTGATGTATCAGTAACTTCTTTAACAGGGCTTGCTTCTTCTTTAATGTGAAATTGAAAAATTGGCCGGTATCTATATTGAATTTTATATAATATGCACCTGTGTTTAGTAGACTAAATCATAGTTTTTATTTCTTAACTAAAAATGTATTGATTTTTTTATATGCTGCTATTTTTTGTTGCTGCTTGTAACAATTTTTATATATATATCACCGATTATTTTCACATTTGAGACCACAGAATTCACGCAAGCAAGTTTGGGCAAAACAATGTTAGAAGTTCATCATATCGAGTCACAATTTCATGCAACTTGAAACTGAAAACTCTGGCTTCTTTCAAGGAAAAAAGCTTTCAGTTGACTCATGTACTACTTGATTTACATATTGATGGTATGTATTGAATCAGAAAGAAGATCTTTTTTGACAGTTTTTTTACTTCCGAACACTTTGTACGTAGGTTTCTTTTACCTATATGTTCGACTTATTATGACCCCTATTTCCACTAGAATTGGGTATCGCTAAATCACAAAAAATTGCATTTTTGTGACCCCCAGATTTTGTAATAATTGCGAATTAGACAAAACTAAATGTTACCATTAAAAAGAAAACAAAACACGAAATGGTAGTGAAATTGTATGAGGTTTTTTTTTTTTTGCTCAATGGCCGTTGTCTCTAGTGGAAAGAGGTTATCACCAAACTGCATTGTTCTCTGCATATTGTATCCTGTTATATCAACACCAGTTAGTCATTGAGAGCAAGTCGTAACAGTATGGCTTGTAGAGAACTTTAGGAGCAGTCTGGAGGATCAAGCAATATCATTCTGTTGTATGAAGTTCAAAAGGCTTCGCAACTGTCAATGTTAGGCCACAGCAAGTAAATTATATGGATGACATCCTCCGCAGACTCCAAATCTAATGCGAACAGGCAAAAAAAACAAGACGGGCTGAAAAAAACAAGGTTCCTACATTTTAAATTTTGACTCAATCATTGTACAGATGGTTTTGATTCAGTAGGAACATCGCATATACACAGCCAGCATCACATATCATTGCATCAAAGTAAGAAACAAAACATTGAATTTGTTGTCTCCTCTCTTTATAGTTATCTGCCATCCACCTTCCGGCATGGCAACAGACATCTTTGCCCATTTTCGGCATGTTGACCACTGTTAGAAGGCAACAAAATTTCTTGTTTTTTCCCTCAAAATCAGGCGAAAATTAATGCACGCACTGATGTCATCCAAAAAATTACTTGCTGTGGCCTAAACTTAAAGTGGATAAAAAGCACAGAACAGTCCTTTGGAACCTTTAACCTTACAAGTGCCGTGTAAATGTGATCTGATCAACATTCACACTTAAGGGGTTATGTGTCGTTTGAATGTTTCATATTAACATTTGGATGCAAGTGTTCCCTCACTTCCCTCTTGGGGTTTACATTGAAATGTGCATGATTATTCCACTGAATGTGCCAACCAACATTTTTTTGTTACATCTAGATGTTGCTTAGTTCTCTAAAGCCACAATTTCAACAGAATATGAAAAACGTTTTGAGTTCTCATATGAACAAAAGATGTAATTTTAAAAATCTTGAAACCCGTCGTTCCTAACACATACATATCTATTCGTTAACAATGTATCACAAAAAATCACTAGTACTTTTTTTATCTTTTACTTTCTATCCTGCTAGCTTTGATTCTAAAAAAAAAGATGGAAAGAGAAAGAACAGTATAATTCAAAAGAACACTTGAAAAAGATCACAAGTGGTCTAGAAAAGGCAGGCAAATTGAATATGAAAGTGTGCATTTGCGTTTTTTATGATCTTTCAATATTGTGTATTAAATCCATAAAGAAATGCCATATCATCACAGGCTTGCTCCATATACCTTAAATAGAAATTGTATCATAACAAAAATGCCCAAAAAAATACGACAATAATGCCCTGAAGGTGAGCTTTGTGTCCTGCGACTGAAAGACCTTGCATGTTTGTTAGCATAAGAAGTTTGTTCTAATGTGTTTCAATGATTGTATTTGATGGGGAATAATATAGAACTGTTGCAGATTAAACGTGTTGGGGAAAAAATAAGGCGTTCTGAAGATGTGAGGAACTGTTACGTAGTTGGTGTAGTTGGAATTATGAAGTAGGAAGCTATTAATAAAACATAAAATGTTGAACGGTGCCCTAGATTTATACTAATATGCAGTGTGCAGCTAGGTTGCTGAAAAGTATGGAATAAATGTACAAAAGTTCACAATGTGTTATATCTCATTATTTGCTGTTGCCTACTGCCCTACCAAAAACAATATACAGTCAAACCTGCCAAGGCGACCACCTCTTCAAGCAGGCCACCTGGCAATGGTGAATGGATTTTTCTTGGTCCCAAAAATTTTCCCCATTGACGCAAGCTGTGAGCAACCTGTCCAAGGTGACCACTCAAGGCCCTATACCTGCCCAAGGTGACCACATCATTGTCGATCATGTTGATTATTGGTGATAACTAATGAGAAATCATGGAGAAACCAGCCAGTTTGCCTCAACTGCTGAATTATGCTTTTGTTCAACGTTATTACCTTTGCCAAGAAGGTTCTGCCAAGAAGCCATAGGTAACAATCCTCCGTTAAGTTTTATATTTTGCAACAAAAATAATCCCAAGCGTCAACGCCAGACCTACTGTGCAGACATAAGGCAACGGTTAATACAATGAGGGCGCGTCACAACCATAAAACATAAAAAGACCTAAATCCATTACTGCTCTCAGGGCATGTAAAGATACTGTGCTTCAAGTTCGAAGTTCATTTTAATTACACACACACAATCATTGCATTCACATAAAGATTGGACTATCATGGTCGTGTCACTAGTAACAAAGACAGCCCCACCGTCTTACCGTGCCTGTTACTTATTAA